CAGCGTTGCCCACTGCCCACGAGCTGAGTCCAGGTCATCCGCCATCTGGCCTTTGCAGACTAGAGCCGGCCTGTCTGAATCAGAAAAAGGCACCCCTTTGGGGCACCGTGAGGCAAGGACACTTCGCATGAAGAAAAAGTAACCCCTTCCTCCAAACGGGGAGAGTCCAGCTGCCGCTTGGCCAGCGTCCACCGTACGCAGAGGCCCACGGTTTGGTCTCATGCTTTCATTTCTCACTGCTCCCACCTTCCTCTCCAGCCTGCCTGCTCCCCAGAGGAAGGCGGCGTGTTCTCCCGGCACCCGCCGTGCCCTCCTCACCACCTCCTTTCTCTCAGGCTCCCTTCTGGAGATCCGGTGATACCGAGGTCTAGGGTCCACACCGGCCCTTCGTGGCGCTTACACAATGGGGAATGGTCCCTGTGCCGTGACACACGGGGAGCCTCGTTCCCCGCTGGACGGTGGGCCTTCATGCAGCCCCTGCACCTGTTTCCTCCAGAGGCTTCGTGGGGCTGAATAAAGAGTAATGTTGTTGATCATGGTCACAGTGACTTAAGAAAAGATGTCCCAGGTTCCGGCGGGTACGTGGGTTCCCAAGAAGGAACTCAGGAGCCTGTTGGCCTGATTTGGGCTCCTATTAGTCAGAAACAATATGACTCAGTTTCTCCCCAAATACCGAGGTCCCTTCGTGTCTCCAAAGTGGGTTTCGCCACTCACAAAAGAGGTACATCTGAGGTCATCCAGGAATCCCCACACCCCACTCCCCATATCAGGTCCCACACGGAGTGACTCCCGCCAAGAGTCCTCGCTTCCCGGCTCCTGGTTTTGTCTTCCTTCCCTCCCGGCGCAGCTCGGCTGTTCCACACTCAGGTGTTTCCACAAAGAAACGTCAAAAGCCGTCCCTGCCACCCCACAGATCTGTGCCTGAGGGGGCTCAGGGCGCCCCGACAGGCACAGGCTGCCCGCTGCTCCCGCTGCCCTCCTGGTAGAGCCCATCAGTTACTACACACCCCGCTGTGCAGACAGACAGTCCGGTTTTTAAGGCTCCCCTCCCCCCGCTCCCCGCCGGAAGCAGCTCAGGGGACAGTTTCAGGGTTTGTGCCACACACACTTCCTTCCTCAACCGAGGGAGAAGGAAGTGCCCGGTGCAGGGGTCCCCCTGTCCTCCTAGAACAGTGATGGCGAACCTTTTGAGCTCGGCGTGGTAGCATTTTGAAAAACCCTAACTGAACTCTGGTGCCGTGTCACATATAGAAATGTTTTGATCTTTGCAACCATAGTAAAACAAAGACTTATATTTTTGATATTTAGCTTATATATTTAAATGCCATTGAACAAAGAAAAATCAACCAAAACAATGAGTTTGCGTGTCACTCTGACACGCGTGTCATAGGTTCGCCATCACTGCCCTAGAACAAGATTCAAACTGGCATTTGGCCCTCAAGCAGCAGCCCGGCTCCACTTGCTCGCTCTTCCCGGCACCACATCTGCAGGAGCCGGGCGGGCACTGAACCTGCGGCCTGGGGCCCGAGATGCCCGCGCTCCCAGGAGTGACCTGCTCCCAGAGCAGCCTCACCCCCCAGGCGGGGCCTCCCGGGCATCTCCCCTCCTGCCCTGAGGCTGGAGGCAGCTGGAGACCTTGGAGTAGACTTGTGAACACCTCCTGCTGATGCTGGTGCATTACCCCCACCACACCCCCGCCCTAACCTGCCTCAGTTTCCCTGTTTACCAAAGTGTCTACAGAGGGTCCAGCTCAGACTCCTGCGGGTCTCATGGTCCCCCACACTCCAGAAAGCCTCCCGGCAGGCGGTCCCCAGCCCTTGAAGACAAGAAGGCAGGGTGCCCGCCCAGGACACACCGTGGCCCCTGCAGGGAACCCACAGAGCCACAGGCCACGCGAGGGGCTGGCTTCGCGAGCCAAGCAGGGCTCCGGGGTAGAGCTGTAGTGGGGAGGAGACAGCAGGCCTGATGGCCACGCCGTGGGGAAGCCGGCCTCCTCGCGCAGAGCTTCACCTTAGAAGCTCCTTTCAAAAGTCCCAGGTCCTGCTGAGATGGACTTGGGCGAAATGTCAGGTCTCGGCTTTAGGGAAGAAATCCAGGAAGCCTGGAGACCTGGAGAAGGGAGGCCGGGGAACACACCCCGCTCCTCCTGGGCATACAGCCAGCTACTCCTCCACTGTAGGGTGGTTCCCGGACCCCCTGAGGTTGGAACAGGACCAGGAAAACCCCAGGCTGAGCAGGGCGGGCCTCGCCCCGGGCGCCCCACAGCGGTGGCCAGCAACCCCCCACACCCGGGCCGTGCAGCGGAGTCTCAGGTTTTATCATCCGCAGTGCTATTTGCCCGCGAGGGAGCTTTGCAGAAAGTTCTGAGAGCTGTGACTGTGGGACTGGAGAAGCGAGCTCAGGCCACCTTCCGCGGGAGGCGGCGGGTGGGGAGGAGGCCTCGCTGCCAGCCCTGTTTCTCTTTCAAAACGGGCTCCAGACTCAGGGGCTTCTGCTTTCTGAGGTCTGGGCTCGCAGATCGCCCGCTTACGGAGTTTTGTCCTGAGCGTGTAAGTTCCTGTCCAACGTGCCTGGAGCCCAGCAGACCCTGTCCCATGGCGGTCCTCTCGCTGCCCCGCCTGCCCCAGGGTCTGCCAGGTGGGCTGGGTGTGCTCTGGGCTGGTCGGAGGCAGGCATTGCCCTTCTCCCGGGTGGCAGCGGGGGCCACCCCACGCGCCCTGCCCAGCCCGCCCCCGCCCCCCACGCCCGCCCGGCATTACCTCCATGTCCTCCAGCTGCCACTGCGCTCCTCT